ATTGGATTAGTTTCCACCATTGGCAAAAACGGCTTTCATATTAGCCAAAGGGTCAGTGAGTTTAACAAAACAGTTTGTCATTATGCTGAACAAACTTTTGCTAAGTTAAAAAAAACGGCCGCTTATAGTGCTAAATTTAATGAAAAGGCTAAAAATAAGTGTCACGAATGAGAAAATTGAGCTGAACAAAAATGAGAAAAAGCGAAAAAACAAGAAAAATTAAACGAAGATTGAAAAGAACTTAACGAGAAGTTTAACGCCCCTCAACCAAACTTCTCCTAGCAAATTAGAACAAATACAAAGTTTAGTAGTTAAAAAACTATCCCGACCACCAACCAAAATACAAACTCCGGAAAAAGCGGTTTATCACCCTAATTGTTTGCGTTTTTTAGGTGTTATTATTTAATTAATATTTGTTTATTCATAGCGAGAAAGTAAACTAGGGTTTTAATTAATGATTAGGAAGGAGTTCCTTTGCCCTTTCAATATCTAATATATAACTAGCTAACCATTCTACAACAAATATTCTAAATTAGTAGTGATTATTTTAGTAATGTCTTTTTTTCGTTTTAAAAGGTTGGAAATTTTTTCGTCAATCGTCCCCTTACAAATTAAATCAATAATTAGGCGTGATTTAGGATTTTCGCTATCTTGGGTAGGGAGAAAACGTGCTTCGGCTTGCTCATTATCGGCCGGCGAATAACTACGGTCGGCAAAAATGGCAATATCGGCTTGACTCAAATTTAAGCCCATTCCCGCACTTTGAATGTTACACAGTAAAATTTTAATTTCTCCCTTTTGAAAAGCACTAATAAATTCCGTTTTTTGGGAAGGTGAAATCTTTCCAGTAATTAAGCCAATTTTTAACTTTTTTTGCTTAAAATTAGCACTTTCTTGTAAGCACCTCGCTAAGGGTTCTAAAAAAGTTTCGGTACGGGTGGAAAAAACCAAGATGCTTTGCTTAAAATTTTCTTGGCAAAAGTTTATTAGATAGGTTATTTTACTTCCGAAACAATTTTTTATTAATTTTCTATTTTCTTCCTTGAGAAAGTTGCTTTTTTTTTCTTCACTAATTAAGGCTGGCGGATATAAAGTTAAAGTTTTTAATTTAGCCAAAAATTCTAAGGGTTGATATTTATCTTTTCACTTCTCTCACCATTGAGAATAAATAAGTTGCTGATTTTTTTCCATTAACAGTTTCTTTTCTTGGTATTCAA